CGCGCCCGCCAGGTGGTATTTCCGTCTGGTATCCACGGGCCTCGGGCGTGACCGCCCATTGAAGTCCACAGACCTCGGGCGGAGGTTCCCATGGGCTTCCAGGGGCCCGAGAAGTGTCGCCTGCGCGGAGCGGCCACATGCCTCGGGCGAGGTGTCCGCAGGCGGACGATTACAGGCTGGGTCTGCATGTTTTGATGAATAGGTATCACCGCGTTGAGCTCCACGGACCGAGATGACCGTGGTATTCAGTCCAGTTTCCATAGGGCTGAGCTGTCGCATTCAACTCAATCTGCCATCGGCTTCTGCGTAGGTGTGGGTTTTTCAGGCCGACGTGCTTACTTTTGTTTGGGTGTGATCTATCACATCGTACGCACTCAGCACGGCTCTCACTGCGTATAAGTTCGCATTCGTTTCTGAAACGATTCCTAGCACCGGGTGCCACTGTTTCCAAGTGCCTGCGGTAAAGGATGAGCTGCTAGCAACGTGAACAAAGCCGACATTGTTCTCGCAAAGTCTGACGAGCCCCGTAGAAGTTATCTCTCATTCCTCAGACTTATCTGGCCCGGCTGCCCGTGCTCCTTGGCTAATAGTCTGCCTGCCAGAATGCGCGCCACGATTCCGGCGTCACGCGGGCGTCCCGCCCTGCGCGTCGCGTGGATGCAACTCCCCACTACAACCAAGGCGTGACACCAGCTCACATAACGTATGGCTGGCAGGGGCTGTCGACGACCGTCATGTCGCGTCGATAACGATGACTGAACTTCGCAGGGCTTTTGACATTGTTGATCACGCGTCCTTCTGAGCAAGCTGGAATGGTGCGGGGTGTCCAGGGAGTAGTTCCAGGACTACCTGAGTGCTCGGAAGCAGGCGGTTGACATGGGCTGGATCGCTCTACCTCTTTCCATCGGGATGGCCCAAAATCGCTTCTCTGTCCCATTGCGTTCATCTTCATCAACGAACCTATCCAGCTTCCTTCCTCACGGTCACCTACTATTCTAGGCGCATGGCGTCCAACTCCTTGACTCTGCCACCCCCGATGCCGAGGGCCGGTGGAACCGGAAAGCCCGTGTCGAGAAAATGGCCTTCAAAACTGACTTCAGCCGAACGACCTTAAAATGGAGTATACAAATATAGACGTTATGCTAATCGGCACCAGCAAAACAATCGTTATCTTCTACATTACCATCTCTGGCTCAGATTTTTCTCCGTCCTCTTCAGTGCAGGTACTGGTAGTACTTTTCGAAGACCACCTCACTTAGGAACTCCAAATCTCCTCACTCGTTCGGTGCTGTAATACAATCATCTTATCCCTGCTCAAAATTGGACACCATTCTATTCCTGATGTTCTGAAACTCGTCGTCCAAAGTGGAGCCCCTCCCCGCATCCTTTGCTGCCCCTTCATCTGGGACGCAGAGGTCGAGGGTCACCGAGACAGGGTGCAGGAGGCGCCCTACGCAACCAGACTGGTGAGTAGTGTCCGACGGAGCGATCACATTTCACCCGTTCTGAAAACATTCGGCTGGCGTAGCGTCGCGGATCATCAACGCCACCGGGACTGGCTGCATTTGTACGGGCACTGTACGTCCCTGAGTCCCCCGGCGCCCAGCGTGCTCTATTCGTGCTGCGTGCTGAGACTTCCCAGGGCCAGACTCGGATTGCGTTGGGCAGCGTGAGCTTGGTGTGGCTTCCGCGCGTTTGACTGAAGCCACCCAGCGGTAGTTCCCGTACCTCGCCGCCGCTGCGTGCAACTGCTGCTAACGGTGGCCGTCCGCGCCCCTCTCGTGATGGGTATTCCTGATTGTTTTTAAGCGCTGACTCATTGACGGAAACTGCGTTTACCTGTGCGTATACCTGTACCTCTCTGTTTGTACTGTATTTTTCCTGTTGGACTAGGCGCAGAACAATCACCACGCGGAGGCGTCTGCAGTAAAAGAAATGCGAAATATGAATATAAAAAGAGCTTCCGGGCGCGTACTGCAGCCCCCTTGACCGCCGCAGAGCTCCGCGGCCGAGGTGGCCCCAGGGATAGTATCATTTTACATATCGGAGCCTGCTCGATCGCAGCCGGCTATTCCTCGCGTGTCGCGAGAGGAGGCATTGTCGGAAAGAGGCTCAGTGCTGCCAAACGACGCTCTGCGGCAGTTGGCCGCAATCTCGCTCGCTTTGATACCGCCGCATTAAATGGAAGCCACCCATCAAGCGCCTCAGATTCGCTCGCACCCAGACGCGATAAAAGAGGACGTTATAGCGCTCTGCTGATATTAAAAATTGCATGATGAGTATTAATCAAGATAATTTCCATGGAAGTCAACCGTTCTGACTTAATTATGCCTCGCATGCGTCGGTCAGCGTATCTCAGGCGCGATTTTCTATTTTCCGTGCAATTTACAGGGCACTATTGCCCACATAAACGCCAGGTTATGGCGCGAAGTGATGTCAGGTTTCCCGGGAAATACACCTTCCGATCGACCCGCCAGGAAGGAACGAGAGCAACCGTGGTAACGTCACAGAAACACAGCTGTTAAGTTATGTGTGAGCTTGCGCTTCGACTTTGGGCTCTCAAACAGGTATTCTGATGCGTAATATGCAAGATGAAGGGCGCTTGCTGAAAACATTATAGAAATACTCTCAGGCAGCGCACCGGTGCCTGGTGTATCTATCCAGCTAGGATCGCCTGGAGGATAATCGCCATGTCACCTTGTTATTTCAGAATGCTATGATCTGACTGCAAGAATTAGGCAACGGTAATCAACAAATCCCTCCAATCTCAGTCTCAACTCCCAGTGCCAGTCTCGGTCTCTGCACACACAGACACATGCATAACATCAGACGTCGTAGAAGCTCCGTGCCGTAGGGTTAAAGATACAGCGAAGCCCGGCACGATTAGTGAGACGGCCTCCTGCACTCAACGCTATGAGCATGCCCGCTCCGATAAAACCCGCCCGCAGGACGAGAGATCGACAATTTACTAATGTTGTAGCCAAGTCGATACGCATATCATGCCCCTGCCCATTTAGGGAGGTGGGGTGTGTGCGTGTGGGGGGGGGGGGGCAGCATCGCCTTTCTGTCATGAAATGACGTAAGCCGGAACCATGTAGCTGGTCACGAGTAATGGTTTCTGGAACCGCTCTTGGCATAGCTACTGAGTTTGCTTCGGCGAGTCCGGCGGTCCGGCCGGCCGGCGACAAAGTCCGGCCGCCGCGGACAGCCAGTGGTGTAACATCGGAGGTCCCGGAAAGTCGGCGACACTAGTTCATAGCTCTGTCCAGATACTGCTAAACCACCAACTGACAGCTGTTCGCAACTTGGCGCGCTATAATGGCGCAGACCCCGCCTTGTCGGCAGGGCTGGTGTCCGAGCGGTATAAGTGGCTGACGCCGCCGACGGTAATCGAAAAAGCCCCACCTGACGGCGGAATGGCTGCCTCAGACTTTTGGTAGTGGGCTTGTGATTTATTGAGGTCTGCACTGATTTCCTTTCATTTCATTGATACGATAGACACGGTTGAGAAGTGCTGATTCGTTGCAGTATCCCACTCATTTGTGGGTACGGATTTTGACTACTTACCGTTGGTACAAATAGCTTCCACAACCACAAGTTGTGTGGAAGCGCCGATCCACAATATTGACTACTAAGCATGCATCAGTTGAAGCCTACAAGAAGATACATGACGGAATAAGTTTGATATGACCTAAATGCTAGTTCAGTTGTGCCTTCGTAAGTCTGTGTGCGAAAAAAATCATGCCCTGGCCAGCACTGTCTTCGAGCTTAGAGCCGTAGGCAGAGCGGTGTTCAGGGCAGCGCTGGCGGACCTGTCCCTGCTGGACTGGGGTCATGCGCCCGTGTGAGAGTCTCCGACCCTCCTTAGCCCCCGTACCGCTGTAGCCCCTCCTGCCGGCTGGGTTCGCTCCATCTGGTCTGTCTCGTTGACTACCTGCTACCTGTTTGTCATTGTTTGCTATCTGTCGACTGCTTTCACCGCATATGGTAGCTTGGTCATACTTTGAATGCACGTATCGCATGAAGTGTCCGATAATGCCTGGAGGGACCTGACGTAGAAATGAGAAGTGGTCATTGTTTTTTCTGACATTTCTACGCTTCCTCATAAGAAGCAAACCTGATCAGCAAATCTACCACATATTCAAAGCCGGTGACCCCTGATCGATTTAGAGCACTTCGCGGATTAAATTTGCAGACAGAGGTGAAAAAGTGTCTTTTCTGTTGCCGACGAAATCTGGCAACGTCTAAATTTTCACCTGGAGCCAAATGTTACAGAAACCGTTGCAATGCAACTCTAAACGAGATCAACCATAAAGACAAATATAAATTAAATGAAACGCAGCACAACCATCAGACATTTTCGTTTCAGGAGATCATTTGCACGAACGTATCGTTTACTGGCGATCAAACATTGAATGATTGTTAGGAATAAACTAATAAATTTATCGGTTAAAGGCATACTTGACATAACCAGCCCATAGGCGTGTAGTTTCATTTTCAGTTAACGGGGGAGGGTGCTGTTATTAATATAAATAGTAGTAGTAGTAGTAGTAGTAATAGTAGTAGTAGTAGTAGTAGTAGAAGTTTTAGTAGTAGTACTAATAGTACTAGTAGGAGTAATAGTGGTAGTGGTTGGAAATGTAGTAGTAGTAGTAGTGCCAGCAGTAGTGGTGGTAGCAGCAGCAGCAGCAGCAGCAACAGGAGTAGTAGTGGTAAAAGTAGTAGTAGTAGTAGTAGTAGTAGTGGTAGTAGTAGTAGTAATAGTAGTACTAGTAATAGTAGTAGTACTAGTACTACTAGCAGTGGTAGTGGTAGTAGTAGTAGTAGTAGTACTAGTAATAGTAGTAGAAGTAGTACTAGTAATAGTAGTAGAAGTAGTACTAGTATTAGTAGTAGAAGTAGTACTAGTAATAGTAGTAGTACCAGTACTACTAGTAGAAGTAGTGGTAGTAGTAGTAATAGTAGTACTAGTAAAAGTAGTAGAAGTAGTACTAGTACTACTAGTGGTAGTAGTAGTAGTAGTAGTAGCAGTGGTAGTTGTAGTAGTAGAAGTAGTAGTAGTAGTAGTACGAACCTTGCCGAAACCTAGCGAGTGGCTATTCTAGCGCCGCGTCAGTACCTACTACATACATCCATGCCAATGAGACCAAACGTCAGCGATACACATACGATGTTACAAAATGTGAGCGACTTATGATACAATGAGTACTTACAAGTCATGGCCAGGTGGTCTTTGGTCTTTGGTCTTTGATGAAAGGTCTTTGATGAAAAACATTGCCTTGCGATCGAGCTCATGTAAGCTTTTGCACTGGCGCGTGGCAGCAGGAGGCGATTCCACGCCGCTACGGCTCTTTAGGTAAGTGCCATTTTTACGTAGCCTAAGCGAGGGAAAATAAGCATCCTGTTTACATGGGCAGCTGGGGGTAATGCGAACTGAGATCGGAACGGAACATGCGACGTTAAACCTGCCGCCGAGGTGCGTTTTCATGGGCGATATCAGCTTCACGTCGCATTGACGGTCGGTAGTTCCATCCCGCTTAGTTCCAATCAAGGAACGGATTATGGGCAAAAACTGCGCTTTTGAGGCGAACTGAAAAAAAATTGCCGGTACTCTGCGCATGGATGGCGAATTTCAAGAGCCATGGTGGGCGCGAGACGGCTTTGAAGGCGAGGAGGAAGATGGGCTTCATTGGAAGAACGATCTGTGCGGGACTCCTAGCCTTTATGGCCGCAGCACAAGCCATAACACTTCAAACACAAAAGTTGTGTGGTCAGCACTGCCTATTCTGCCCCATAGCTAGTGTTATATTCAATTTTTACTTAATTTTTAAATTATTAAGAAATGTGAACATTGTGCATTGCAAGGAGCGCGATCCCAGAAATTTCCACAAAACAGGAAGATTTATTTACAGATATTCCAACATATATCTCTGCTAGAAACAGTGTCTTTGATCACAGGTAGGCAATCAAGAATGACAAGGAAGTGCACTGGTAAGTAAAACTATAAGCCACTTCATGGCAATGGCAGAGATGACGTTAAACCAGCATGCGTCAGACCATCCATACATGACAATAGCTCCAAAAAGTGCAAGCAAGGCTACTGCTTTCCATTTTGCAATGTAAATCATGGCTTGCTGTTCTAACTGACATTATTTAGGATGACATTTAAGATACACTTGGGGCCCGTGAGATCTGAATATTTGCTGTCATGCAAGGGCTAGCAGGAAACCAGCATTTTCTTGTATTGGCCAATGGCACTCACACACTAACCACACTCTGATCAGATGGGCCACCCAGCGTCATGTCATGTACTTTGCCCAGCCCAAGAAGCATATCACCTACTCCCACACTAATGCATCTATGAGCAGCTTGCAATAATGAGCTAGGCTACTGAAATAACTCCTGAATGCTACACGATTAGTGTCAACAATTATGCAGTTATTGTTGTCTTTCCCCGTCCAATGCAGCACCAGTACCTGAGGGCAGCAGTGTCATTCAGACTTCGCATGGACTGACAAGTCGGAATGCATCTATTTGCAGTCTTGACATACCAGGGTTGAAATACTGCTTTGACATATTTGCAGTCAACAGCATTGGGCTGATATGGACTGATGGCTATGATGACACAAACAGCTGTGTTTGCGCAGCCCAAAGATTATAATATGCAAACCAGCTCGAGGGCTGTTTCATGACAAAAGCAATCTTAGCTCAAAACTGATAACAAATCATTCCTTATGACAACAGTTCTATTACCCACCTCATGGCTTGCAAAAACACCCATCATAAAAAACACCACGGTAACATATCGACTCACCAGTACAAAAGCAGGTAATGATATGCACCACAGACATGTTCTGCGTGCAGCATGTGCCTTTGTGTTAAGTGCTACTTAATTTAAGTACTGTTTTTTTCCACATGAAGTAAACAAACCTAGATTTAGCAGAGTACCGATGACAGCTATTTTTATAGTGTTCACATTTGCTTTCTTGACATTTTCAAACCATCATTGGTCAATTTTGGTCCTATCATCAAAAACAGTTCACATTCCGAGCTGACTGCAATGATCCATATTTGTTGATCCTTGGTATCATGCAGAAATTATTGAGTTACCTATCTCACATTAAACTGACAAGCAAGCTACAACCTAATGGCATGAAAGGCAAATATTTGATCCCCTGCTTCCCTGCCAGTTGTTTTACCAGTATCACGTAACTTCACATTTTCTTGAGGAGCTAGTCGTCCAATATTAAGCACATCCCTCCAGCGAATAGGTTGTCAACCAAATGTTAAAGTCATGCAAGGAACGTCTGCAAAAACAATCCTGGGGCATTTAGATATTCACTTAATGAGAGAAACTTAGTGGTATTCTCTGCAAGAATTTGAAGAGGAATGCGAAAATTAAAGTGAGAACAAGTCAAAGCTATATAAAATGATCATGTTAGCTCCATATGGTTTTTGGAAGTATGGAGCCTGCGCCAGAGGTAAATTAATCTAATCTTGAGACGGAAAGATAGCACCAACACCGCTGACGCCTGCTGTCTGCATATATCAACGTCCAACAAGCTTGAATTACGTGAGCAGTTTCTGTGCTGCTTGCCTCTTAAGGCCTTGAATAATTAGAGTGCTTGTAGCAGCATTGCGTCAACTTCCCCTTCTTTCCCTTTTTTCTTTTCCATCCTGCACTTGGATTGTCTTGAGCAGCAGCCAAAAACCCGCGGGAAAGTGGCAACACTAAACAAACCTGAAATGGCCTTGAACAGAATTGCATGCGCCAGGCAGTTTCTTTTTTTGTTATGCGCAGCAAATATGCTTTTAGCAGCCTTGACCACCGATAAGTCGACCGTAATCCCTTCCTAAACGGATGATCCTCTCACGGGAAGGGATTTTCGCCGGCGCGTGATTCGAATTAGCGGAACGGCGCATGAGTGTATACATGGGCCGGATAGTTCGGATCGAGGACGGGTCCCGGCTCAATTCGAATCACAGCTGCCCATGTAAACAAGGTAAATATCTGGTGTGAGGGAAGACCAGTGACTCATGTAGGGACTTCACTGTAGAGCTGGGAAGCACACACCTAAGCTTCTTAATAGCTGTGAGGGAGCCAAAACAGCGCTGATTAGTTTTGGCCGTTTGATGCTGCTCGTTGAGATTTTTATCGATGAGCGCCCCTGTTATTTTTATGTACTCCGAAAGAGACAGCTGGGAGTTTAAAAAAATTCGCACTGAGTGCGGGGCCTTTGCTTGTGTTGAGGGGTGTGCCAGCAACAATTAATTCAGTTTTTGATTGGCTGATTTTCACGCCATTGTGACGAAACGATACTGAGACCGCGGCCAGATCGGACTCAGCACACGAACGCAACTGTGCGAGACCACAGGCAGATGGCGATGATTCATGCATGAGCTGCGTGTCGTCTGCATGCGATACCAGTTTACACGTAGCTGACACATAACACTGGATGCCGTTGGTGAAGAGAACACCAGCCGTCCTACTATGCTGCCCTGAACCACGCTATAAGCGACCTCAAGGCTCGGCCCGTTTCCGCCCTTCACAGTCTGTCGGCGGTCGGTGAAATAATCCGAAAGCTGGTGTGGTGAAATACCACAGCATTCCAACTTCGCTAAAAGAGCAGAGCGCTCTTCACAATCGAAGGCTTTTGACAATTCAGTTGAGCTAATGGTGGTGACCATACCCACGTCCGTGTTGTTTATGTGACAAACTATATCGATGACTGCATGCTCGGTGGAGTGGTGAGGACGGTATGCGTGTTATGAGTCACCAAGAACGTGGTGACATCACATATTCTAACAACTGGGTACAAAGAACCTTCTCCGTCAGCTTGCTTACAACACTGAGAACGTTGATAGGCCTGTAATTCAACGGCTCAGACGCAAGCCCCCCCCCCCCCCCCAATCTGACTGTCGCAAGCTTCCAGATGGACGGGACGCTACCAATGGTGACAGAGTAGTTTACAATGTGTAACAGGCGAGGGCCAACCACTCCAAAACACTGCCTGAGCACGGATAGGCATACATGGTCCAGTTCTACTGGCTTGGAGTTGCTCGTGCGGCGCAGCGCGAGACTAAGTTCCGAGAGGGTGACCGATCTGACGCGGAAAGCGCCGCTGGCCAGCCTTGGCAGCCGCAGAGGCAGGTCCGCGCCGGGTTCCCTGTTCGGGGTGTCGGCGATACGCCGTCCCACTGTGGCGGAGTATACATTGAATTTGTCGGCGTCTGTCGGGCCCAGAGTGGTGGTATTGTGCCTCCTGCTTAGAGATGAAGTTTCCCATTTTCAATTAGCACTTTTATCGATTAGTTTTAATTATTCATAATTTTCAGTGTTCAGCCCCCAAAACCAATTTTGAAAAACAGCACTGCTCCAAACTGTAAAAGAAAGCGCATCGAATATGGGGAGGAAACTGATCTATGTGCATTTCGGAGACAGGCTCAACCATTTGTTTCCTATGCATCCTCCTCCCCCACCCTCCCTCCCTCTCTCATCCCTACGTATGTTGAACAACGGCATTCCTGCAGCCCTCTATTTGCTGATAAAGTGGTTCTACAAGCAACCGGAGACAATATCACTTTTGGTTTTGTGACGTCGTACAACCAGCTGGAAACGTGGGTGACCTTAACTATCTTTACATCACATTTATCACCTTTATATCTTTGCGTCACATCACACGGCGTTGGAAAAGCGCTGTGTCACCACTGATCTGTGACGTCAGCAGCGAAATAGGATATGTTTAAGCGCGTTTCTCTTACCAACCTGCTAAAAACATCCTGATTAAATGTACTATGTCTTGAAGCATATTGCGTCTCAACTTGCCACCTCGCGAAACGTTAACGTTTCAACCTGTGTTCTATGTTCTATACATGCTCACGCTGCAAGCGTTAACGAGTGCGGATCAAGACTAAGCTTTGAGGTTCAGCTAGCTGAGATGGTCTGTTATAAATTGTTCTCATCTGTTTAAGTTTGTTTTCCCAGATGTATCAATGCAATACGGTCCGGTCCACCTTACTAGAAAACATTATCAAACAAATCCGTGCAAATCGCTTTCACATTTAGGTCTTAGGAACTTTAACAG